GGAAAGATTTATCCTTGTAGTTGACTTACTTTTACGTCTGGGCTGTTGAAAATCGCACACATCGTTACACTTTCGCGAGAACAGCCACGTAGGTGCGTTGGGTTTGTCTCTGACGCATTGGGCAATGTTGACGCCATTCAAGCGCTTTGCCTTTAGTACTTTCTAACCTCATTCATCGTCGTGTGCCACATCGGCTTCAGTCAGTTCAAAAACTTATTCCCAGTACACAAAGTGTTTGTGTTCGCTGTGTAGACCATCTTCGACATTCTTTCTCCTGGTCCGTCAATCCGTGGAAGACATTTGAGTAAAGTGAGATCAACAGCAGGCACCTCTTCCTCCACCGCTACCACCACCATTTGCTCGTCTAAAAGCTGGAACACGTTACCGTCAGCAATGGCCACCCAGCCGAGCGATCTGCGGGAAGGCGCGACTATGGCTGTACAAACGATCTATCGCGGTGCTGCTCACATTGCTGCTGATTTTACTACACCTTTTGTCGATCCCGATCCACAAAAAGGCTCCATTGGAGCGCTGGGTGATGTTCTGCGACAAATCCCTCCTGCCACGGTCATTCCTTTTGTCATTGGCTGTGAGGTAGGTCCAACTGCCTGATTAGTTGGGTAGGTGGAGAAGCCACTTTGGGGCTGATTAAGTGGTCGATTCTTGCCTTACGTCTTCGTCTCCTTCCATATTGTTTGACGTAGATGATCATCCTTCGGGATGGAATGCAAAGTAGTTTGTGAGTGATGACAAGATCCGCTAGCTGATTTGTTGATACAGAGCTAAGTTTGTTGAAAGTAAGACAAACGCATCCTAGAATCAAAATTTCACCCTTTCCACATTAGCTCGTGCTTTAGGTCGCAGCGTGTCTTTTTTTTTGTTACATTCTTTCTTCTTGGCACGGTTGGCTATGGAAATCCGTCTAATGAGTGCTGCAAGTAAAAAGGTGGCTTTTAAATTAAATTTTTGAGTGCTACGTTATAAGAGGATATTGTTTATGCCTTACACTGGCCTCCACTTCGCCCGGTTGTGACAACGCAGCACAATGTCAAGCCTTTTTTCCCCCAA